TATAAAATAGCAATTTTTTTCCCCCACATTTGAGTGAGGTGTGCAGAGTATATGAAAATATCGCTGGTCATGGCCACGTTTTAGACGTATAAATATTTATGTCACCGCCAGAATATATATATATTTTTTCCCCACAACGGCTTCCGGATATTTTTATCCGGAAGCCGTTGTTTTATCTTGATCTAACAAACACACGCCCGGTCTCCTCAGTTCGGGCTCTGGCAGCCTTGATGTTGAATTGTTGGGTTGGGTAAGGGGCACATCTCATCCTTTGTAATGACCATCATAAATCACGACGGCACAGTCCTAACGCTGACATATTCCCCTGGATACATCCAAGGCACCAGCAGCAGGAGTGGCGTTTCATGCTGAGCTGAATATTTCTCCAATTTCTTACCGTGAGCAAGAAACATAAAAACACACAAACATAACCTCACCACACCACCTGCTTAGACCACCGCTAATTAATACAAAACAAATAGGAGTCGCACGAATGATTTTTAATTGCCATCGTGAAATGAAACATTTCCAGGCAAACCCTCTGAAGTGATTTCTTTTTTTTTTTAAACGAGAATTTGTGAAGGATTTTATTGTTCAGTTTTCAAATAAAATCTACGTGAATTATGGACAATGCACGCTTCACAACTTGCAAAAATAATTATGAATTTACTCAAAGATTAATGATCATAAATGTAATTGGAAAAAGTAACCGCTTTTTACAATTAACAAAGTTTTGTAAATGTAAACACGGGTAGAGGAAGACTATTTGAGAGACAGAGAGACAGCGAGAGAGAGAGCTGCGTTGCCGAATGAAGACCACATTCATCTTTCAGAATGGCAAATGCCGAGGGCGTAAAAACAGCAACAAAGAAATTGCACGGCTTACGTGGCCCACATCTGTTTGTTAGCCATTACGCTGCATAATAAACAAGCCAAATACGTCAACACACGCATCAGCCAGAGGCGATGTACATCTGCACATCACCTGCAGTGTATTAATGCTTGTTAAATGATGGAAACGCGATTCTCGAAATAATTTCATTTGCATAAAGTAGTGCTGTCGCCAATACATTGTCGGATGCATTTGCACCCATTAAAATATCACTGTGCAGATACAAGACTCGTAACCACGTGTGTTGTGGGCCTTGTGTCAAGCCGCCGCTGGAGGGGTGGGAGACGGTGGCCCCTCTCGCGGTGGCCCCACGTGGTGTTGCGTGTGTAGTGGTGCTAACTACTCGCTGTTCGCAAACTGTGAGAGAGCGGATCGTAAACAAGGTTTTCCCGCTCAATCAAACGGTCAGGGTCAAATGGGGTGAGGTAGGATCCAAACGCCAGATTGGGAAGGACCAATCGGAGGGTCCCACAAGGTGGCCGGGGATTGGACAACCCGGCCACGAACAGGTATAAAAGCAAGAGCGCTGAGAGCTCTTGGCCAGTTCTGCTACACGAAGACCCAAGTCGGCCGAAGACGTCTAGGACCCTGGACCAAGCCCTCCAGCCCTTATCAGGGCTAGGGCTCAGCGTAACCAGTGGTCGGGGAGAGATCCCCTAGGTCCAGCCAGAGGACGCTGGGATAGCAGGGAGATTAGATAGCCTGCAAGGTCCGGAGGCTGTGTCTCCTCAGGGTAACGGGTGAGGGGACCATATACCCCTTTGTGTGATAGGGACTGTGTATTAAGATAATAAACAGTGTGTGCCATAAAGAAGTTTAGAAGTCCGTCCTTTACAACACTACAAGTGTTTTGACGTCGCCGTAAACACAACGAACGCACAACGGCATCGGGACGAAAATGAGCATCGTTCATTTTGAATCCAGATTCAATGAGTAGTCGAGCCGAATGCCAAAAGAAGGTCCTGTTAAGGCCAAGTAACCTATCAGACGAGGGTTTTTGCGTGATCCAACCAAGTATTGAATAACTCTCAAGAACTAAATGTGAAGTTCCTGACCAGAAACCAAAGTGAAAACAACATTGACGTCGTTGCCTTACAGAAGATGCACGCTGAGGACAGCAAACAGATGGCGAGTCACAGAATAAGTGTATAATAATAATAAATCCTTGTTGCTGGCATCTATCCACGACCTTAAACATGGCCTCAACGCCTTCATCAGGCAAGGCCTAAAGGACTATCCTCTCAATTCGACCACCATGAGCGGCAGCACATTGGCAATAGCCGTGACTGTTGATCACGTGATGGTCAACAATGTATATAAACCCCCGAATAAAGAATGGCCATCACCAGCTCTGCCAGCGGCCACACACCCGGCTATCATACGTGGATTACGTCAACAGCCAGCAGATACAATGGGGCTACTCAGACGATGGCGAAGCCAAGGGATACCATCTAAAAGGACAAACAATAACACTGGTCAACAAAAAAAAATTATGGCCTGGACTTTTGCAGCTGTTTTAGACTAATTTCAGGGTGCTGATTCCAAATCTGATCTCAGATTTGCTCTATCACATCTCATTTTTATGCTATCAGCATACCCCATTTTCATTGATTTTACCCGAAATTAACTCTGTCTCTTATGATTGCAAGTTGTTGCGAGTCAGTGACTGCTTTAGTGTTAAATATGGTGCTGTATTTTTAGGATAGTGTGTTTATAATATCATTTTATGTAGATATCCACATTTATTTAATATTTTTCTTCTGTAGTTTTTATTGAAAATGCAATATTTGATATCTCAAAAACCTGATGTGATGGACAAACACCGATGCCAGATTTGGAATCAGCACCCCAAAATTACCTTAAACCCGTTGGAATACCTTATGCCAGAAAAGGTGTGTTGACCAGTGTAATTAGGCAATTTTCCGAACAGCCAACGCAGATCAGCAGTCATGCACGTTGAGTCAATTGCCGCAAGCAACAGATCTACGTTTTACCTAATCAATCAAGGCAGCCGCAAGACAATTGTGAACAATAGCCTTCCTCAAGGCTCGGTACTAGCACCGTCGCTACTTAACATCATATTCATATATTAGTGACCTGCCATGTATATAATTTCGCAAGTTCATACACAGTATACTGTAACCCTTGCAGCACAAGGCACACATTTAGAGAGAGCTGCCAGTACTCTAACAGCTGATCTAGTTTTATTGGAGGAATATTTCCATCAATGGAGACTCCAACCAAATCCCTCCAAATCCCTCCAAATCTACCACAAGCGATTTCCACATGAACAATCATGCACAGGATGCCACCCTTGATGTGTCCTCCTGTGGTAGCCCAGTGCCCTATGACCCCACCTCAAGATATCGAGAGGTGATCGTGAATAAAAGCCTGAAACCTCGAACTCCACAGCAAAAACAGATGCGTATGAAGAGAAAATCAAGAATCGCCCCGCTACAGAAACTTACAGGAACGACCCGAGGGTGCCTCAGCTGATGTGCTGCCACTATCTCGCTGAGCTACTCAGTGGCAGAGTCACTGTGCTCCGGTGTGGTCCAGGGAGCTTTGTACACAACACCGATTAGATGCACCGTGAAATAACGCAATGCGCATCACAAATGGAACACTGAGATGGATGGCCAATCCCCTGGCGAACATTCTGCCAAACTTATCCGCTGAGATGTTCAAATTGCAAGGGAGTTTATACGTATTGTCGCCAGTGACAACCTAACCATCAAACCCTCAAATTAACTTCTGATCCCCCTTCCTAGAGAAAACGCTAGTGAACAAAGTGAAACAACACGGACGTCCAGAATAGACACCTCAATCGGAACCCAAGCATCGCACCTTCTGGCTTCAACATTCCTCGACGACACTGATGGTGTAACCATCAACCGCATAAGAACATCAACTGGCCAATGCGCACATCTCCTTCAGAGATGATAATCAAAGACAAGCCACATTAGTGCGACTGTGGTCAGGCAACCCAAACTATGAACCATAAAGTTGCAGAACTACACGAACTGTCTGCTAAAGCCCTTAGCATTAGCATTTAGATCTTGAAGATATTTTCCCCATCATTCGCAAGAATATAAATTGCTGGATGATGGCTTCCCCAGACCATGTGAACGGGGACTTGTTTGACCTTACTTCACCGTGCCGGTCAGTGCGTGTTGGTGAAGGTGGAGGGGCCAGGACCGCTGCAGATATTCTCTCTCCAATGACCGTTAGCAGCGATGGGAGATTGAACTCAGGTTTGCCCAGTCCTTTGCGCAGTGTGCTCGCCGCTGCGCCACTAGTCCAACCCACGGTGATCATGTGCATAGATAATTTAATATCCCCAGCTGTGAGAGGCCCCGTTGTGTTTCACATTTAAGTACATCTGGAGAAACGTGATTCAGCATATCGACTCACAAATGCTATTGACTATGTAAACGGAGCGATTTAGATTGATTTTTAAAATGTGCCATCGATCACAGCAGTCGGCTCTATGGCCTTAAGCCACAAGAAGAAAATAGTCCCTGAATGGGGAGAAAGGGGGGGGGGGGTGCTCAGTGCAGGGCGGGGGCAGGAAATGTGTGGACGAGATGCAATAAAGTGTGGACCCTTCACCCTGGAAGGTTCCGTTACTCAGCAAATGAAATGGCTGCAGCCCACGCCGCCTGCATTGATGCACTGCAACTCAGCGCTTAAACAGCGTCGTTTCATTTCCGACGCACGTCCACACCAGCCCTCAACCGCCTCAATCCCCTCAACTGCCTCAATCCCCTCAACTGCCACACCTGCCTCAATCCCCTCAACTGCCTCAATCCCCTCAACTGCCACACCTGCCTCAATCCCCTCAACTGCCTCAACTGCCTCAACCTTCTCAACCTCCTTAATCCCCTCAACTGCCTCAATCCCCTCAACTGCCTCAAAGGCCTCAAATGACATACCCGCCTCTCACTCTCCCCCCCCCCCCCAACTGCCTCAACCCCCCCCCCCCAACTGCCTCAATCCCCTCAACCGCCTAAATGGCCTCAACTGCCACACCCGCCTCAACCCCCCCAACTGCCTCAAACCCCTCAACCGCCTCAACCAGACCAAGCACTGTTTTCTGCACAGGGCGGCAGAGCAAGCCCATCCTGGTGAGACGAATTTTCAGAGCACCATTCATTTCATGACCAACTCTTCAATGCGGTTTTATTTAACTGCGCGAGGGCCCCGTCGCAATGGAATATTTGCTTTGCAAGAGAGACCTGAAAGGCCATTCACAGAGTATTATATTATCCTCTACTGGAATTTTACCAGACAGGAATTTTAACATTTGCAATGTGAGATCTGCCACTGGGCAGACAAGCACCTACTTTTCTTTATGATGATATCGATTGGCTCTTGACATTTTTTTTTTATAAAAGAGGTGGCATAGTTTGGTTTGGGAATGTGCTGTGATGGCGCAGTAAGGGCGGTAAACCACTTCGGCAGAGAACTACCGATTATCGTGATGAAATTTAATCCTCAAAGTGGTGTGCAAAAAAAAAACAGTCAATGGAATTTACGCGAGCTTCCTCTCCAATGTGTGCCAGTTCGATGAAGTGGACATTGCTCATCTGAGAAGACCCCTCACTCTCAGACGATGGCAATGTTGAAGCAAATGTGGCAGTCGGCACCAATGAATCCCAAATGACGTTTGCTTTTTCATTAGCACCATCGTGTAGGGTCGTACCGCCGCGTTGTTAGTTTCGCTGCACGAGCTGAGCGCTTCTTCAGCAACTGAACCGATTTATTTAGCCAAATATTTATTGACATTGAATCCATTGTTTTGCTATTTTCTATTTTGAACACCCCAAAAAATGAGGGGTGGGGCAAATGCACACATTAATTTAGCGAGTGCAGGAATAAAACCCCAGCGCCGCACAAAAAAAACACAGCACACAGGAGTGAGAAACTCCCAGGAAAACAAACAGCATATGGTTACAGTAAAGCAATGCCAAATGAAGATAAATTTGTGACACCTCCATGCGAGCATCTCACAAGGCTGTCTACGCGGTGATTTATTTTTGCTGATTTGAATTTGTGTTCATTTTAGTCTCCAGGCTGAACGTCACCGCCGTCGGCGGCGGCATCTGTACGTTTGCTCCGGAGTAGTGTTTCAAGCGTTCTCCTAAGAGCACGCACAGTAACTAAAAGTCCAATAAAAATGTTTGCCCGTGCAATATATTTTTAATGACATTATCCCCATTGATTGAGGCTTAGGCACGACTGCAATCCCCCGCGGGCTCATCCGAGGCAGACTACCTCGATCACCTACTTTTCTGGAGACAAACTCCGAGCGCTCCGTGTGCCAGAGATGTGCACAGCCTCATTTGTGCAACAGCCGACGTGAGAATTGCAGATTTCCCCTTTATTAATCAAAACAATACCAACAGACCTTTACAAAGTTTTTGTGTGTTGCTAATTTGTCATATCAGGCACAACGACACAGATCCCCGGTATATACTTTGACCAGACTGTTGGGGCAAGTACTGTTAGCGAACATCTATGAATGCCCAAGGTGGTGGGTGGCCAACACCACATCCAGCCTCCTTTGTCTCCCCCAGTGCTGAATTTTACACACCACACCAGGTACTCATTTTAGGCTGAGTCAACCTCGGAGCAGTCCAAAGACCGGTTCATATATTGACAACAGATATTGGTCGCGAGCGGGAGATGGACTCGGTCACCGACTCTGTCGCGCAGTGCGCTATCCACGGCACTACCCATCATATTGTCAGTCGCTCACACATGCGTACGCACGCACGCACGCATGCACGCACACACGCATGCACGCACACACGCGTGCGCACACATGTTGGTGTCTGCTAAGGCATTAGTTCCGCTGAGCGCTGCGGATTTTATTCCCAGTGGATTGATCATGGCTGATGATGAGGGCAATGGAAGCATTGAACCCTGCTCTTTGACCTGCATGCTAGCGTTATCCAGAAGTCTTCCAGATGCCAATTACGCAGAGGTGGAGGCATGCATAAGCTCAAGTGATATAGATTCGTGGGCTCACGATGCACGCGTGTGCAGAAATCGCCGGGTAATTTTCAATTTTGCCATTCTCAAATGTCATGGGTTCACATCACCTCTACAGCCACTAGAGGCGCTACCATTCACCCACCGATGTGGAAAACAAGAGTCAATTCTCGGATCGAAATATGAGCCCAAATTGTCACAATTCACAACTCATCAGATTTCTGGTGGTGCATTGCTCCACCAGCAATGTGACACGTCATTAGATGTAACTCCTGGTGCTACATACGACGCCGTAAATAATATTGCCAAGTACTTACCCAGAAAAGCCTCACCGAGTGTCAAACCCATTTTATAGGAGGGCCCTGCATGAGGCTGCTTGGCAAATTCCATTAAAGAGAGTTTGGCTTCATGTGGGAGAAAGCCAGAGTTACCCGGAGAACACCCACACACACGAGGGGTGACCATACCACCGCATCTATTGTCATTTCCACGCGATTGATTACACGATGTAACACGATTTTTGTCCCCGGGTAGTAAGTGTAATTTTTTAATTGCTTATGCCTAAAAATGATATAAAATGGCTTTTATTCCCCACAAATTTGCTTTTGTGACCAGGACTTTACGTGAAGGAATGACACAAAAGCACAGGTTTTCTCATTGAAAATAGGTACATTTCAAAATATCACTGGCCTGGTCACAAAAGCAAAGTTTGTAGGGAATAATAGCCATTTTCTGAACTTTTGAGGCATGAGCAAATAGGAAATAACACTTACTACCCTGGGACAAATTTTTTTTTATTTTTGTTACACAGTGTTACAGCTCCTCAATGCATTTCTTCCATGTGCCGGAAGCTTCCTCACTAGAGTTCCCGATGAAGCTCCCAACACATCGGACACCGCGCTGAACAATGCCGGCTACAACCTGAAGGTGCATGGGATAGAGCTAGGCAGCAGCACAACCGCGAACACCTTAAGCAGTGGAGTCAGCCGCTCCATCCATCACGCGTCCGTTCCTCGGTCTGCACGAGCGCACACGTCCAGAACAAATTATTTGCAGCGGAGCGCTAAAGAATTAAGTCGATTAAGGAGAGAGAGATTGCCTCTCGGATGGGTTTTGTCCGACTACCACCTTGCTGAAGATAATGCGCAGGTAGCGCAAGTTGCAGGGCTTACTAAAAGCATGTAAATGGACGTTAATTAGCCACACAATGTACTTGCGGAAAGCGTGCCAAGATATCCATTACCTGGGAAATGGTGTTGCCAATTAGCCGACTGCTGTTGCGTACATTTCACATCATCTGTCAGCTGCAGCGACGGCCGCTCGCCATTATTGGCGTCGCCGAACAGGACAACAACAAAGATCCCGCTCGACCTTGACTGGGCAGTCTCGTAGCCGCAGTGTCCACCTGCGCACATCCACAGAGATGGATGTGTGTGTGTGTGTGCGTGCGGGTGTGTGTGATTGTGTGTGGAATTATAGTGCACTGATGATAGATTAAGGTTATTTCAATACATATAAAATGCATAATGTTAACAGCGCCAGTTTCTCCAATAAGCAATGCTCTTGCAATGAAGTAAACAAGTGTGTTAATTAAAGGCGTCCACTTTTTCGGTTTATAAGGGGGAGCCAATTTAAAATGCTATTAACCTTTACATTGCTGGCATTTCCATAGCTGATGAAATATTTAATGAAGATTAGGTAATTTTTAACAACTGTTTTGCTATATTATAATCAACGGTGGTAATGGTACAAACTGTTACCGACAAGAACGTCTGGTGGGTCGTTTCATGTTGCACGAAGGCAGGTGGCTGTTAAAGAACTCGTGACGTCATTCGCGCGAATTGGCCCGTAGTGTGCCGGTGCAATGGTCCAAATTTCCCAATTTTATTAAATTACCCCCACAAATGACTCAGTGGCAAAAACAAACAGCAATCTTCATGCTCGGCTGAAATATGTGCCAGGACCCTCTTGAAGACAAAGAGTCGTTGAGACTCAGGTTTTCCTGGGTAAATAAACAAAACAACAAAAATTATCTTAATTGAACAGCAATTTCAATAATGAGAGCGTGAAGAGGCCGGGAGGCTCAAGGGGGTTCGAGCGGTTAGCGCTGAGGCCCTCGGTTCCCTGTCCAGGCTTCTGCTGCCCGCGTTTAACAGCGGATTCTCAGGTTGCAGTGAGTTGATGGTGTTAGCCCCACGGACACAAATGACCGCACCAAAAAAAAATCTCATTCAATGTTAACCGTCAGATAGACGCGTGGTGAACACTGTGTGCAGCGCGGACGTGGGGGGGGGACTCTTGACGTGACTTTGGAAATAGTTCCGTGACGTCATCTTCCGGGCCACTTCTCTGATACAGGTTTATCCGAAAAGAAATTCCTTTGCTTCTTTTACGCGAGGCAAACGAAACAACTGGCACATCATTGGGCGTACATGAGCGGATGGCTATTGCAATAGTGTCTGCGTAATTGACATAAAGATTATCTTCTTGGTTCTTTCGGTAAAGTCACGTCGAAGGGACTTTACCGAAAGAACCAAGAGGATGAATCCCTGCAGTCACGAAAGCTTTAAATCGAAATTTGACATAAAGATTATTATTTCAATCTTGACTTAAAGCTTTCGTGACTGCAGGAATTCATATTCTTTCGGCCTTTCGATAAAGTCACGTAGATAGAAAAAATAATGTAAAAAAATATCACGACGTTTCAATCGCAACACATCAAGAAAAATTGGGTTAGCTTCTAAAATGAACATGCTAGTCTCTTACATTAACATAGCCACCTTGGCGCACTCGCCTTGGAGGATGCGATCTTGCATTGACATGCTAATTTCTGCCTGGCAGCCCTGTGATTGGTGGACAGCCCACCACCGCCGAAGTCGCTGCCCGCCATTTGCATTGGCATTGGCTGCTGACATTTGGGCTACGCCCATTTCAAACCTTTATAAGCAATTGTCTTTTAAAAGCTAACCACATTTTTCATGATGATGACCGCTCGTGTTGCGATCGAAACGTGATATTTTATTATTTTTTTATTATTTTTTAGATCTACGTGACTTTACCGAAAAACCCAAAAAATAGACTATTATTTATTCACATTTTTGTGATACTGGTTTGGCAGTGAAGCAGAAGCACAAATAACAAAAACTGAAAACATCTGTCAATAAATCGTCATAAAACTGGTTTTATATACTGTACATATATAACAGGCGACGTTCCTGACTATGCCCCTTCTTCACAGCACATATGGAATAAGGCGCACTGCCCAAAATACGTCCTATTATATGTGATTTTTTTTTCAACAAAAGGTGTTGAGTTCTTGTCAGAAAAGTCGAGGCTGATTTGTGTTTTGCGGGTGGCTGGGCTGGGTGCTGTGCAGCAGCAATCGACGCTCTCAACAGCTGCGCCACATCGGGACGTGTGCTACACACGCACTATTGCCACAGCTGCCTGTTTATGGACTACTGGCACAACAGCAATTATATTTATCACAAAAGTTTTCCCACAGAGCTTGTAGAGACGTAAATCCCCGAGTGGATCACGGCCGCATGTGCTGGCCAGAGGGCAGCCACACCAAATCTGCACCGCCCTGACATTTGCCCCCAGAAAAAATGGCCAAACAGCTGTGCGCTTGCAGATTAAACACTTGCAGACAGTCGCCATCAGCCACAATGCACTGTTTTATACAGTACATCTGTGTGTGTAGAGAGACTGTGAACTGTTAGGTGAAATATCGATGGCGCAACGTTCCATTTAAAATCACAGGCAGCTGAGAAAAATGCTGAAAAACGAAAGTGGCAGAGTTTTGTCTTTTGCGACTGGCAATTTGGCACGAGTGCAAAAAAAAATTGTGGAACTAATTATTTCCCGAAAAAAATATGATATAGTCTTCCGTATTTCGGATAATTGTGCGATTTGACTCCCCACTCGGTTCAGACCTCTCACCGAGCTTCGCACAGCACCCACTCCGCTCTCTGTTCATTGTCTTCTTCACAAAGGACTTGACAATGGTGAGGATGCGTGACTTGCAAGTTAAAGAGCGAGTCCCAGGCCAAGGTCAGATTCGTTGAGACAACGGTAGCACATTACAAAGAGCCACAGTTTCCATTCTTCATGTGGTCACAGTATTCAGCTTCGATAAAAAAAAATATGTACTGTCATTTTTTGGGTGTTGTTGATTGTATCAACGTTTCAATATTCATGATCACCATCTTATCCACCGCTGGGTGACGAACTCTCCAAGCCATCACCATTCATCACAGTCTCACAATGCAACTATCCATCGAGCTCCTGCACACTCGCCCATGTCATTGCTCCATCCCCCTGGTGGATGGCCTCTAGGGCATGATCCTTCCTTTGACTGCCACTCCGTCAATGGTCTTGACCACCGGTCATCATTCCTTCTTGCGACGTGTCTGGCCCAAGCCCACACCGATTCTTGACAACAGTCAAAATTAAGTCTCTCTATCTTGCTTATGTTATTAATTTACGTCTCTGTCTTGAAAGCAAAAATCATTGAGAATATTCAACTGTTTCGTATTCAGGTATGTATATGTGCATGCATGGAACAGACGATAAGGCATGAGGCCCAAACTCTGACATTTCAATATATAATTACATATTTAAAATTATGTATAAAGATCACATGTATAAATCAATGTCAAAAGCCACTTCATTAATTTTCACTGAACTCATTTGGGTGAATAGCCACAACCTAAACCCATTATTTGATGAAGGCAAACTTGCATTTTTTGTCCTAAAAAAAAATCTGAAACGGTAAATCCACAGAGTGCAGAGCCTGAAGAGGTCCCCTGGGAGAGGGGAATTCTGGTGCAACGCTATCCGTAGCTGATGAAGCTGCACTTATCAGGGCTCCGCGCTTGATTGACGTAGGCGGGCGCTCAGACATCAATTCGCGAGCTCCCGTTGGACGCAGCAGGCGTCAGCTCAGACAATGAGCTACGCGAACCGTTTCCTGCAAAAAACTTTCTCCGCATTATTATTTAGATTGAGTCTGAAAAAAAATCAATCAGATGCACCATGCTACGTTTTGTTAATTTAAACTTTCAGCAATACGAAAAAAAGGTTTGAAATTATATGAGAATGTACAACAACAATAACAACAAAACCTCAAAGGAAAAAATAAATATTGTAATAAAATATTTTAAAATACTTTTTTTTTAAACACGCTTTAATGAAATGTCCTGTCCGAGCTGCCCCTCCCCCTGCCCCCTTCCCCCATCGCCCCTCCCCTCCTTCCACATCCCCCGCCCCTCGGCGTGGCTCCCCGAGGCTTGCCGTGACGTAAGGGACCGTGGTGATTTACCGGCAACATTCAGTTGAGCGTGGACAATAAGAGCGGTTAAAAAGATTGTTTACATTTTTTTTTTAATGATAGAATGTAGTATTGTCATCAGTATGACATAACTATACGAAGTTTGCAGTCGATGCGACATTGGGAATACGGTTGAAATAGAGTTACAAGATTTTTGGATACAACACATACAGTAAGTTAAATAAAAGCGTGTAAAGTTTTAAAATATATGTTTTGGATTTTTGTTTATGATAGAATATCGTGTTGTCATCAGCATGACATAGCTATACGAAGTTTTCAGTCGATAGCACATTGGGAAGTGCGTAAAAATTGAGTTACAAGATTTCTTTTTTGAGGATACAACAGACGAAGTGAGTTCAATAAAAGCGTGTAATAATAAAAAAATAACCCGTAAAAACAAAGTTTTTCACTATAAATCCTTTATATGCGTGGCGGCTAGAGTCCTCTCGTCCTCTGGCTTGAGATGGCTGCCACCTATGGGTCAGATGATTGCCTGCCACCATTAAGCAATTGGTAATTAAATATAAAAAAAAAATCCAAAAAAGTGTAAAGTTATGGGAAAAAAATTTCACGAAAATAAATTCTCACGCACAACGAGTCTGTGTGCAAAATGTCAGCTCGATTGGATCACGAGAAGTGGGTTAAAAAACGACCGAAAGATTTGCACGGTCGTAAGCGCGCAAGCAAGCAAGCAAGTGAACTTAATATAAAGGATTTAAAAATGGGCAAATCTCTAGCAAGGTTGCCCAACCATCTTGTGTGCCATTGCCACGCCTTCTCTGCCAGTGTTTATTTGCAAGACGCACTATCCGTTAAGTAAACCTAGACGCGTGCACCATTAGCGGTCTCTTGCAGATGGCGGAGGCGAAGCGTCATTCCGCAAAAATATTATCCCAATTATCGCACGCTCTTGCGTTCATTGGGGGTTAACAACAGCAATTAACATCGCCGTGAAATAATTACCCGCGCCACTGTCGCGCAAAAAAAAATACGCAACACCATTGTCAATGGGCAAAGGCGCCGTCGATAGCTGACCGGGGAATCGCTCCGTGCAATGGCAAGGATCGCGGCGCGGGGGAAATGAAATGCAGTTCCTTTTGTTCGCGGCGTTCGACAGAGGGAACGGCAAAAGGGGCAGAGATATGCCCACCACCCACCCACCCGCCCGTCTGCTGCGTGATGCAGCCACGAGACTGGCACGCGCCACACGGGCAGACTCAATGTGTGGACCGTGCGAACGAACGCGCTGTCGACAAATTCCACAGATTTATTTGGTGGGGTCGGGGGATTGTCCTAAACTATTCTAAGTGTCTTAAATTATTGATTGGGACGTTGGTGGTGGGACGAGTCGATGTGGTTATTTCCCTTTAATGTTCTGCACAATAAAGAAACAGAAATTATCTCACGGCCTTTTGTCCGGCCACTGCCGAAGTAGAAATATCCGCCTTTCAATGTCAGTCATCGTGTTGTTGTTGTTTACCTTGCTTTACCACGCTGGTCAGTGTGCGGGTAGTAGGACTGGTTTATGATCAGCTGGGATATCACTCACTGCCACTGGGATACCACCACCACTGGGAAATCACTCACCACCACTGATGTGAGCCGAGGGTTCATAGGGCAGTGCGCTAACCACGACACATTTATTTTACAACGAAGAACAGCATGTTTGTATTACAAATTATCATATATATTTGTAAGATCTCTAAATCCTTTTATTATTACTTTGTGGTTTGAGAGGTTGCGAGAAGGGGGACCCAATAAGGCAAATAATATTAATATATTTGAAAGCTTTGAAAAAAAAGTCGATGTGCATGTGAACGAGCCTCTATTTTTTTCCCCCCAATTAAACTGGGACGCGAATTTAAATACCAGCAGCGGGATAAAGCAGTCGTGTTTGCCAAGATTTATTTGGCCTGAGAAAAAAATAATCTTATCATCCATGTGCGCGCACAAAAGCATGCTCACGTTGGCTTACAAATAAAACATTGTTGAACGCACTATGCTCTTTAAAGGAATAAAACGCCACAGGCAAAACTCATTGTACGTCGTTTGTACGTAGAAATATAGCAAGCAGTTCATCATCATAGACACAACTAGGGCCAGCAAACACATAGGATGCACTAACTAGTTTAACACGTAGGCTTTCGCGACCAATATTTTTCATAATAAACGTTTTTTGGGTTAATATTGCGTTATTTATAAATGTGTCGTAACGCTCCATCACCCGACACGGCCAATCAGTAAAAAAGTGTCGCGTTGACAAAAGACAAAGAGTTCACTACTTTAGCCCACCGGTGTCTTGAAGAGAGAATCCACGACGTTTCGCTGAGTACGACATGCTGGATGTAATTACCAGCGAAACGTCGTACTCAAAATGTGTAAATGATGTGGATTCACGCTTCAACACACCGGTGGGCTAAAGTAGTGAACTATTTTTCTTTTGTCAACGTGACACTTTTTTACTGATTGGCCGTGTCGGATGGTGGAGGGTTATGACACATTTATAAATAACGCGATCTAACCCAAAAACGTTTATTATGAATATGCACTAACTACTTCACAGCGTTCGTGCTGTTTAACTTCAAGTTTGCCATGTCAAGCAAGGGGCAGCCGAAGTAAAACGAAACAAAAACAACAACAACACACAGAGGCGCGCTCATCAACAGCGCGAAGAAGGCACGACCCCGATCATCCCTTGCATGCGTGTCATGCGAAGGAACACATTGCACGCACACACTGCTGTGCGTTTACAGCCTGCACGTATTCTGCCGTTGCCATGGCTTTTGTCACCATTTACAGAACGTGTCGGGACTAAATTATGAAATAAGAAAGTGGCACGTGTTTGATTAAATATATTTTTAAGAAATTCCCGTTGCTAAAACATATATTCACAAAGTGCAAAGCCGCATCTGAAGCCAGCTCAATATCTTCCCACGAGGCACTGCGTACTCGACAGCACAATTGTTTCACCGAGATCCGTTTGGTTATGCGCTTGAGCTAAAGATTAGCGGTGTGGGTGCTTCGTGTATTCAGGCAGTGCCCCATGCGGTGTTTACGCGGCGAAAGAGAACATTTATCGGCAATTCTAGCACTTCCAGGAACATCGGCAAAATGTGTCCCGCGGTGAGGGGTGAGGTGAGATGACGAGGAGGGGGGGGGGGCGTTAGGAAGGTGTGAGAGTTGAACCGGGGACTGCGGGGAACGCGACAACAAGCACTTAGTATACCCCAAGTGTTGTGTTTACACTTTGGAAAACGTGTCGGAGGGTTGCAATTTAGAACTGCCGTGACGCAGCCAAGCGCTGCATTTGACACTTTGTGCCATTTTATTAGGAAAGGCCCCCTACGGATAAATAAGTGTTCCTTCGATGGTGCTCGGAACAACAGGGTAAGCGCACGACACAGGCCGCGACCTCGCCCTCACCTAGCGCTGTGGGAATGTAAGGAAGCTACTGCAGATGCCATTAACCCCTTCAGCTGCGATCGTTAACGACAGCCCGAAGACGAGCGGGCGGCGTTAACTTTCAATTTCCATCGCTGCTGCGGTCATGCTGCCGAACGGAGTGAAACGTAATGTCATCCCTCAACAGAAACACAAAAACGCCTTCCCGTTTGTCCGTTTTTTCCAGACTCATTGTAAAGCATGATTTTTTTTTTGCGCGCGCGCAGGTGATGGTCACTTGCGGAAAGGTTACGGCTCAATCCACGGAGGCCTCGCCTGCATGCGCCCACCTATTCATCACCGCCGGAAGGGAAAAAACCGAGTGACCCAACACGCGGCCGCGCGTTCGTCCGCGCAGGTTGGAGGACCCCGTCGCGCTCCCCGTGCGCGCGCACGAGATATATCAATCCCCGCGGCGCGAGTTTATTTTTCATCGAATTTGCCGAGGCTCGTGAAAGTGCCAAAGAAGTCAAGGCCTGGCGCGAAGTGGGCACGTAATTGTCTCACTGGCATGCTGCAGGGGAGGGGTGACGGCAACCTGGGAGCAAACGCGGGCGGCCGGGGAGCCTACCCGCCGCGGAGGCCGACTGGAGCAACTCGCCGTGACCTTCCTGAGCGGGGAGAATTTTCAAAGGGCCCCGTTTTTTTTTTAAATATATAGCTATTGCTGCACCTGTGCGATGCTCCGCTTCGATGCCGAAAAGATGCGCACCACTTGAATTGACAATGGGGAGAAGGGGAGCGGGAGAGAAATGTGCGCGTACGTGCACGAGGTTCTGCTAGGATCAATTTACAAGGAAAGAATTGGGCGCATCACAATGCCTTGCGACTTGCAACCTCCAGAAACATTTTTCCACACCATTGTTGGTAATGTTCCACGAAGAGACGACGAAATGCATGCACAACATCTACTGTGCTATCAATAAATCGACAAAAATGACGAGCCGCACGCCTGTTTATAGCGCACAATGGAAAAGTGTCACTTGCTAACATTTGCTTAAAATATCCACACCGACTCACATTTTTTTTATTTAACAACCTTTACCCCCAGACTCGAATAACAATTTTACGGTCGTTGTGCTTGGCACACTTTGAATTCCATTTCGAATCCGAACAAAACGGTTTATCACTTTACAACTTTATAGATGCTGCTTAGACAGATATTGTTTTACAAAGCAAATGTTTGGTCAGAGCGGCAAAAAGGCAACGCTTCTCTCATTATCCATGTGGGATATGCCGCGAGCCCCAGTATTGGAAGCGCGAAAGGACAAATTGATGATGCAGCGGTATGCGTTATTGCCCACGTATTGCTCATTCATAAACAGCGCAATGAAACGTAAAATATAGATGTGGATTTTACAACGATTCTTCATTTTTGGCAACGACCGGTAAAGAATTCGCGGTCCTCATAAAAAAAAAACAGCAACATGCGCCCGTTTCTTTTCTCTTTTCTTTCATTCTTGACAACCGATGCTCGCGCGCGTGAATTGACCGGCTGGCAGACTTATCGGCGATGCAGTCGTATCTGGCTCACCGACGCGCGTTCGGCTCGCACCGCGTGCTCTACTCGGCAGCACGATGTCCGACGTTTCGCGCCACGTGCTGGGAGGTGCATTCATGTAACAGCGTGCGGTACAACACAAACACGCGACGGAGAGCTGTTCAGCACAACTGTGAATGCCTTCACGTTGGCACCGTCTCCTCTGCCGATGGCCCAGCTCCGTGAAGGCTTTGCAGCAGAAGCTCTCTCCTGGCCAACACTCAGGGCACGGGATATTATTGATCTATTGCTGGATAAAGGGCATCAGGGACAAACTGGCCGGTGGTCATTTCAGGCTGTGGTATGCTGGTCATGTGAATGGCTCTGGGGTTGGTGGTCGACGACACAGACTCATAGGTCTGGATGGCATCTGAAAGTATTTTCCTGGCACAATTTCTTGGGTGACGTTAGATGTGCAGGTGGGCACGTCGACAGGCGAGTGGAGTGGTGGCGCAGTGGCTAGCACATTGCACTGTGAACCCACAGCGAGCATTTGTGCCAATAATATCTCAACTGGAGCTGGCCGAGCTGAGCAATCCTGGCCCGGCTCAGACCGTGGGACATTTGAGCTCAATCTCCACGACTAATGGTCTTCACGATCCCACAGTCCCAACGATTCCCACCAACTCATGGCTCTGGGTGGTGGTCCCAAGTTGGTGGAGCGGAGAGAGCGCTACGAGCTGGGACCGCGTGGCCCAAGACCGGCGGTAAACACCGCTGCACTCTGAGCCAGCGTATGCGTGACTGTGGCCCTTGTTAGTTTCAAGCAGGAAAGGAGGTCCTTTAACCGATTGCACCTATTCCACGTTTGGGGTTTCTCGTCAAGTGGGTTAGGAGGACATTGAGTATCTCAAGTGGGATAATTTCATAGTTTTCTTTTCGGACGCCATCTTGCATGTTCGACGTCAGAGGGGTCTAAAGATTTTGGAATTAGGGGCTTAGAACTTATAAGGGACAGCTTTGTGAATATTCAACATTTATGTAGGATGTTGATTGGTGTCTACAGTAACTTTATTTTAAGGGCGAGCAATCCCTTGACCAAGCTTCGCAAGGGGAGGTGACCTGCTGAACGTGACCTCATTATCGCTGATCCCATATCGCTGCTGGGAATCAAACTCGGGTCGCCACGTTCATATGCGCCGTGGGCTAACCTCTGTGCTATCCATTCGCCTGTCGTATAGAATGTATGCGTCCGAACAATCACGCCTACCCCTACATTGTCGCGTTGATTATTTTTTTTTGCCAAGGGCACCGAAGGCCATTTGCCTGCAAACAACTGCTTTAGGGGCAGTAAACTTAACGATATATTTCTTTACGACGGGCTCGGCCCTCCTGTTCCAGATCGCCACACCCCGTGCAAGGCAGCCTGTAATTATCTACTCTTATCATTGCATTATTATTACGTATGACTGATTGCCAGCCTTTACGGGAGGTGCTTAATGATTCCATAATTGCTGGCCGAATTACTGATTATCTGCGGTTTTAATAATCAAGGGAAAGCGACTCGGTCATGAAAAGGTACGGGCACAGCTCTCCGAGAGAAAACTGTCACTTAACAAGGGCCCCCGAGTTGAATTTAATTGGCCGTAAATTGCATCGCAACGTGCTGAGAGTGAACGCAACACAATGCGGTAGGGCGCCCCTTGAAGGCGCTTGTTTGTGACGTCGCACCGTGCGCGTTGGCTCGGTACGGCCACCTCGATCGCCGTGGGTGCCACACCTCCTCGTCACCCCGACGAGGCCGCAGCGCGGTGCAGGCCACGGGGCGGTTTAGAGACCGTGGGGCCCGTAATGAGCTCATTAATCAAGCACCGATTCGCACGTGCAACAATCACTGCGGCTCGCGAGCGACCCGATGACTTAACTTCCATCCGTTAATTACGTGGCGTGTGAGAGGGCGTCTTGTGGCGGTGCTAGACTGGAAGTAGCAGCTACACCCGAGCGTCAGTGTGTCTCGTGCAGAGGTCGCAACCGGGTACCCGATACCCGTACCCTACCCGATACCCGGCTACCCGTACCCGGCCGGGTACGGGTAGCCGGGTACCCGTTTGCGACCCTGGTGCGGCCGGGTACGGGTACGGGTAGACCGTGAGTCACTGGTGAGTAACTGTCACTCATTTCCCAACGTCTTGTCTCTTCTCACAATTCAAGTTCCTAGAATCAACCCACCCGCGCCTGCAACATGCCTTCATCCCAGAGGTCGCAATCAAATACCCGATACCCGTACCCTACCCGTACCCGGCCGGGTACGGGTAGGGTACGGGTACGGCCGGGTACGGGTACCCGTTTGCGACCCTGGTGCGGCCGGGTACGGGTAAAGAATCAAAACCCGTTTGCGACCTCTGGTCTCGTGTACGTGCTGCTGTGTGTGTTGACTGGCCGATGCAGGTCGTGCATCGGCCAGTCATCTCAGTCAACCCATGGCACCTGGGTCTGCCCCGTGACCTCCTGCCAGCGGGAGCGATCGACACTCCACGTGACCTCAAAGTGTACATAGCCTGGCACAAGCGCGGGGGTGACGTCACCGCCACTGTGCGTGTGTGTCCGCAGGTTCAACGTCGGATATCCGACCGTCACGTATGTTGACTTGGCCGATTGACTGCCCACACCCAAATGCGGTGTTTGTGAAACGATGTAACTGCCAATTCGTATGGCGTGCAACGTTCGACCTGTTCTCATAATCAGCCTATGCCTCAGTCCTCGACGGAGTCGCATATGTGACGTTGTACAGCGAAAGAATTGCGTTTTGCGTGATGTTTCAAACAAGCCTCGGGTGCAGAGCCACATCGAAGGTTCTGTAATTGAGGTGATTAATGCACGCTATACAACAAACAAAAATGACCGATAGTTGGCCCGGAAATTACTGGCAGAGAATAAATGTACAAATATTCAAATGCAGTACACACTTGAACAGCAAGCGTATCTGCAAATATAATGGCGGGCATGTGCACACAGTCACATTGGACCGACGCCTGCGTTTGTCTTTGTGTTTAACTCAGAAGCCAATTTATTCAACGATTTGAGTGGTTACCGCGTGGCTAGGGCTTAGTGTTGTCAACGTGAGAGCGGCTTGGAAGAGCTTCCTGAAATGGGGACAAAAGCACATATAACAGGCAACGTTTCGGGCAATGGCCCTTTTTCAGAGCACGCACAACATGTCATGAGCTATGCATATTTATCTGCTCGGAAGAAGACGACAAAAAACACTTAAGGAATGGCCATTGACGCGTCACCTTTTCGACGTGTATTTACTTTCTCCATGTAAAGCCTCGATGTTAACGACTGGCAACACGTGTCGGCTGTTGTGTCGTTAGCAATTTGATTTTGTCGCAAGCACTGCAGCGGTGCGGCCGCGCTTTGGTTGGGAACAGTGCCGTGGTTGGTCGGGGCTCGCTTTGCACTCCTTAAACGCCTCCTCCTCCCCCCCCCTCCTCCTCCTCCTCGCAATCAGTGGGAAAGAAACACGAGGGGGAATTTTCGCTAATTGTGCTCGTAATTTTGTTATGACAGATGGCAAAATTTGCTGCTGGAGGCTTCTGAAAACCCTTAATCAGTAATTAGTTTCATCATTAGCTGGGTACTTAAGTGTGCCTCCACTTAGAGTTATTCCGTTAAAAGGTTCCGTACTTTTCGAAAAATGAAAATTGAACCTGCCGCTGTTTACTTTGGGCTATTAATATTCCCATAACGCGCCCATGTTGTAAAGTTGCATCTTAACCCGTGCGTCACTCTTTAAAAGGCACAGATTGACACAGTAGTTTCCATTAAAAATCTTTATGAATCCTAAACACATTTTAAAACAGTATTTATGATTTGAGTGCCACAGCGCTGCCAGAATAGCGATGTTTGGTAATTGCTTAACAACA